ACATTACCTGAGCCAATGTTAGCAGTACATGACTATATTATAAAAGAAGAAAGGTGTCATAATAACGACCTAATATTCCACCTGAAGAAACCAGGAGAGAAAGGCAAATAAAACTTAAATAAAGGAAGTAATAAACATAATATCAGGAATCAGTGGAGCTGGCAATAATTTTTTGAAAAAAATCAATGAAACAAAAGGCATGTTCTCGAAAGAGATCAACATAAATAATAAAACTACATCTAGTACATCAATAAAAAAGAAATAACACAGATTGTCAATAAAAGGAAAAGGGGCAGGAGGTGCCACTAAATTATTTGATGCTCCTCCCTATACTGTTGTTGTTGTTAACTGCAGTCAAGTTGATGCCGACCCATAGCGACCCTCTATAGGATTTCCTGAGAAGCAGCTGGTGAGCTTGAACCATCGACCTTGTAGTTCAAACGGCTTTGCAGTCTGGCGCATTAACCCATAGCACCACACCAGGACTCTCCCCCCTATAGTAAGATATGCCAAATTCCTCTATTTTTGAGTAAGGATTAAATTTTAAAACCAGCTTTAAAAAAAGCAGAAGTATCAGTGATGGGAGCAGATATAACAAAAAAGTCATGGATTTTGCAAACTTCTATCATGCAATTTCCAGCATCGTTTCTATCACCGACACCACATTTTCCAGCTACTGATCCTTCCTCTTTGTTTCCAACCTTCGCATTCCAATCATCAGTGATTATCAATACATCTCCACTAAGTGTTTGATCAGTTTCAGACCAAAGAAGTTGCTAGAATTCTTCAATTTCATCATCACTGGCTTTAGTGGTTGATATGTAAATCTGAAATATAGTTGGATTAACTGGTCTTCCTTTTTCGGTATATGGATATTATCCTAACACACATAGAATCACACCCCAAGATAGAAATAAAAATGTTGTTTTTGACAATGAATGTGACACCGTTTCTCTTCAATTTGTCATCCCTGGCATAGCAAACTATGATTGTCAGATTCAAAATGGACAATAACAGTCCATTTCAGTTCACTAATACCTGTTGTTGTTGGTGTTAAGTGCCACTGAGTCAGTACCAACTTATAGCGACCCTATGCACAACAGAAGAAAACATTGTCCTGTATTGACATGTATGTGTTCCACTTCATTTTGTGACAACTTCCAATTTTCCTAGATTCATACTTCACACATTCCAAGTTCCGATTATTAATGGATATTTACAGCTATTTCTCATTTTGAGTTGTTCTCATAAGCAAATGAAGGTGCCAAAAGTTTTACTCCATTTGCGTCATCACAATCAACTCTACTCTGAGGTTGTAGTAGATCCCCACTTGTATTGTGAGCGCCTCCCAACCTGAGGGGCTCATCTTCCAGCACTACATCTGACACTATTCTGGTGCTCTTCATCATGTTTCAATATTCAACATTATGGTAAGATTTGATAGTGTCCCACTGCTATTCAGAAGCTTTTCAGTGACTACACATTCGGAGATAGTCCGTCTTTCCTTCTTCCAAGTCAGTCTTAGTCTGGAAGCTCAGCCGAAACACGTCTACCATGAGTAACCCAGCTGCTATTTAAAATGCCAGTGGTATAGCTTCTAACATCACAGCAACACTCACCTCACCACAGTATGACAAACTGACAGATAAGTGGTGGACCTCACCAGAAGGAATACACAGGCATCAAATTTACTAAGTCTGTGGAAACAGATGGTGGAAAATCTCCAACAGCCAAAACAAGGCCAGGGCCAACTGTGAAACAGACCATCAATTACTCACATGCAAGTTTAGGATGAAGGTGAAGAAAATTAAAACAAGTCCACGAGAGCCAAAATATGACCTAAAAATATCCCATCTGGATTTACAAACCATCTCAAGAACAGATTTGATGCATTAGACACTAATGACTGAAGGCTAAAAGAGTTGTGGGATGAAATCAAGAATAGCACACATGAAGAAAACAAAAGATTATTAAGAAGACAAGAAGGAAAAGACCAAATGCATGTCAAAAGAGACTCTGAAACTTGTCCTCCAGAGTAGAGATGCTAAAGCGAAAGGACGAAATGAAGACGTAAAAGAGCTGATAAAATGATCTGTCCTGTAAACTAGAACTCAATACACAATTTTAAAAAAGTATTACAATAGTGAATAATTTTTATCAAGACTGATTGTGAGGGTTGGAAATATAAAGGTAGATGTTTTGTAGCAAGGAAGGAGTGATTAACTTTCCAGTCTAGAAGCAGAGGTCCCTAGGACCATTAACTGAGAAAAGCAGAGCGTGGGACCCTACTCAGAGAAGCAGTGATGCCTGAGATGGAGGCAGAGACGATGACGTGGAGCAATGGAGCAGCTGGGGACTTTAGATCCAGAGAGGGAGAGGGGCTGTGTGCTGACTGACAACCGAGGCTAGGGGGAGGGGGCAGGCTTGCAGGGTATCCCCTTTGGTTGGTTGATGATACATGGAGCGGATTGTAACCATGGCAATGAAATGATATATGATAGGATGAATGTAAAACTAATGTTCTTCCATGTAAACTATCACATAATTCACAATAAAACATTTTTAAAAAAATGAAATGGAATACATAAACATCGATATCCTAGGCAGGACTCCTGGTGTGATGCTGTAGCATCAGCTGTGAACCACAAGGTCAGCATTTCAAATCCACCAGCTGCTCCTTGGAAATCCTATACAGGATTACTTTGAGTAAGAAGTGACTCAACAGCACTTAACAACAAGAAGTGATCTGAAATGGACCGGTACTGGCAACTAAAATTTTGATAAATATAATTTTTAAATGGCTGCCAGAGTACATTGACATGGAGCTGCCAGAGGTTTAAGCCAGATTCAGAAGAGGACATAGAATGAGTATATCATTGCTGATGCCAGATGGATCTTGGCTGAAAGCACAGAATACCAGAAAGATGTTTACCTGTACTTTACTGACTATGCAAAGTTTTACCTGGGCTTTACTGACTATGGACAACATTGCAGATAATGAGTATTCCAGAACACTAACTATGCTCATGAGGAACCTGTACAGAGACCCAGAGGCAGTTGGTTAAACCGAACAAGGGAACACTGAATAGTTTAAAATCAGGAAAGGTGTGTATTCACCAGGATTGTATTCTTTTCACCATACTTATTCAATCTGTATGTTGAGCACATAATCTGAGAAGATGGATTATATGAAAAAAAGTGCAATCTGTGTTGAAAGAAGTACAACCAGAATGGTCCTTAGAAGACTTCGTCTCTCATACTTTCAACATATTACCTGGAGGGACCAGTCCCCAGAGGACATCATGCTGTTGTTGTTAAATGCCATTGAGTCAGTTCGACTCATAAACAACCCTATATAGAGTTTCC